CCCCTACAGGGTTTGCAGGGGTTGGGGTCACCAAGAAAGACACAACTCACATGGGCACTGGATGGGACGTGAAGAAGAGACAGAGCGCAATCAGCTTCAACGGTGAGTGTCGGTCCCCCACGGCCAGTGGGAGATGGTCCACCCCCGCCCCTCTCATGCAGCCGGTGACAGACCCCGACCCCTCCTCACTGGGGGCAGGTATGGCAGTGGGACTGGCCAGCAAAGACGTACACATCAAGCCCGGAGCAGGGAAGATATTCCCAGATAAAGGGAGAGGCCTCCCCAGGCCGTGAGGGCTCTATATCTCCATGTAGAGATGTCCCTGGCTTGAGACCACTCTTCGTGGTCGTGCAGGGGTGGAAAGACAGTGCCCACGAGACTGCCTTTCCCCACACTCCTGGGCCACATCCTCAGTGGGGGGACCCACCAGATCCTGTCAAAAGGCTGGGAATCCAAACTAACAATGTCTACTGTTTAAAGTAGTAAAAGCACTCAAGTAACTGTTTTATGGTTGAGTAATTGCTGAGTGGAACTAATAGCAATAATGAGGGAGGAAATCACTTTTTTTCTATGTGTGTTTCTTAACTTCTTCAACCTGTTTGATGTAAACTCCTTTTCTCCAAGAAAGTAAGAAGAATTTGAATTCCTTTCCCAAGGGTCTCTTGCACGCCACCTGGCTTTCCCGGCTGTGCCAAGATTGCAGAGTCCTCACCGCTTTTTACCCAGGCCACTTCTCAGGACTATTGGCAGCCAACATCCTTGATGGAGGAGGTAAGTTCTGGGAGGAAGAGCAGGCGTGCTTACTGCTTTCTATAAAATGCAAGTTTCCCAGCTCCAGGTTTCTTACCTGTAATACAACCGACTGCCTGAGCAGGTGTCCCTCTGGGTCCACTAGTTGCCCCCGAGGGACTTGCAAGGCGGGGGCGGGGGTGTGGTGGGGGAGCAGAGCCTGTGAGAAGCTCCCGTGGCCAGCTGTGCCCCGGGTGAGTTACCTGCTGTCTCTGACTCAGGAACCTCCCTCTCCTGCTGGCATCCATGAAACAGTAACAGACTCACTTACTTGCCTGTAAAATAGAGCACAATCAAATCCCAGACCCAGCAGTTACTTCTGAAAGAAAACACTTTTAAAAACAATAAGAAAATGAGTAAAGCCACCCAAAATGATAATTAGCATAGACCAGCAAGCAATATAAAAGAACCAGCGGAACAAATGGAAGTTTTAGGAAATCAGAAAGGAGATTTTTTCCCCCCAGCTTTACTGAGCTATAATTGACAATATAACTATTGTGAGATTAAAATGTACAATGTGATGATTTGATGTGTGTATATCTGTAAATGATTACCACAGTAAAGTTAGTGAACACCTCCATTACCTCACAGAGTTATAATTTTGTGCGTACGTGGTGAGAAGTTTTAAGATCTATTCTCTTAGCAGCTTTCAGATTTATAACACAGTGTTGTTAGCGCTGGTCCCCATGCTGTACAGGAGGCTGTTTGAATGCTGTTGACAATTCAAAGGCCAACAATGGGCGGAGCTGTCTGAAGGCCATTAAACCTCTGTGGAGAAGATTGTTTAGCTTCTGAGTCAAGAGTAAGTTCAACAAGTCTTTAGGTGGGAAAACATGTACTTATCTTAAGCCAAAAAAAAATTGTTAAGTTCAATTAAGCAGTCAGGAGGGAGGGTGTAGCTCAGTGGTAGAGCACATGCTTAGCATGCACAAGGTCCTGGGATCAATCCCCAGTACCTCCATCAAAAAAACATACATAAATATGTAAACTGAATTACCTCTCTCCCACCAAA